TAAAAAACTCCTGGATATGCCGCCTATGCGCCAATCAGCACAAAGGCAATAGTTTGACGTTGAACTACTAGTTGCTGTGTTTTAGACGGTCTGGAATCCTCATGATTTAACGTAATTCGTAATCAGCTCTGAGAGTTTAACGTAATTCGTAATCGGCGGCGAAAATTTGGCGTAATTCGTAATCAATACCCCCCCCCCCTTGCAGGCCCTCGTACAGGGCCAGCTTTCTGCCTTATGCGTCACGGCTGTGGAACCAGCTGCCTCGGCCTGTTAAAGAGGCTCGTAGCATAAGTGTGTCCAAGCAGAAGCATCAGTCGACCCGGAGACGTGGCCCCAGATACGAGAACATTCTGGCGGCTAGGAACCGCATGAACTGCACCAAGTAGTAAATGGACTGATAGACATTAGGTATTCTAATTCTATGCTTATTCTAGATTGTAATTTTTATGTACTAATATTCTTTAGGTTTAGCCAGGTGAGAAAAATTGGATGTAATGACAGAAAACAGACGTCCTGTGGTAGCTTGTGCCTCAAACATGTACTATACACACACACACACACTACACACACACACACACACACACACACACACACACACACAGAGAGAGAGAGAGAGACCACACACACACACACACACACACACACACACACACGTGTGTGTATGTGTGGGTACTTTAAGTCTGTCTGTGTGTGTGTCTGTGTGTGTGTATGTCTGTGTGTACTGCATTAAAGAGTCAGGCAAAAATACACGTACAAGCCATCCTTTTTTTATTAGCCTGTTATCCAGTCTTACGTGATAGGGGGTATTTGGGTGTTCGGGCAGGTTGTGCCTTCGGGGCTCTAATAGCTTCCCCCGCCCAGTGCAACAGGCCGTCCCGGTAGGAGTGTTACGCTCAGCTGGTTACGCTAATAAGAGACAGTATGCTTGGGGATTTGGTTTCCCCCAATACGTGTTCGTGGGGGGCTAATCAATCTCTCGTGAAATACACACCGGGAAACCCATGTGAGGCGGGCGGGACAGAGCTCTTGTGGCCCCGACTACGATCAGACTGGATACCAGGCTATTTTTTATTGCTTCAAGCCTGCAACCTCGCTCGTTTCTAGACAAATGGAATGTTTCTAACCCCTCCGTACATCTCAGTATGTTTTGCTGTGGTGCACTACAATAGCCTATCCTTAGTAAGGGTCTTGAATCTCTCCAATATCATAATTTTGTTCTCTGTGAGTAAAATGTAACATAGCCTGTGTTACACAATCTCATGGTGCCAGGGGATGGTTGGGGTATCTTTCAGATGCCTGACCAGTGGAAGCGCTGCTAGAAGTTAAAAGAATTTGTCAGCGCCATTATTTTAGTAAAACAAGATGTTCCACAAGTGTACAAGTTAGCTCTTACATGTACATTAATATTTGTTTGCTATAGTAAATTAAGGTCGTTGATCGTAGGATACCTGCTACTAAGTAGCCAATATTAACGTAACACTTGTTGGTACATGGTAGTCAGGCCATGTAGAGACATACGGACCATAGTTTTCTTGAATAATATAGGTTAAGGCAAGAAGGTGGTGTGTTTGTATCTCGATGTTTTTGGTCTGCACAAACACGTGGAACTTGAGGACACAGATTCAGCACACATTAAAATTGATTCCTACTAAATTCAACGGATAGTAAATATTGATCTGAAATTTTGAATTGCTGCTGAATCCATACTGAAGTCACTGGACAATAGTCTGTAAAAAGTATTACAATTTTGTGTTCTTTTATAATCGTTTTATGGAAGCAAAATTTAGCAGTGTATCCAACATCTAATATGAAGGAACAGAAGTACCATAACAATATGCCAGCTGAATTGAATATTTTCTGTGTAGCACCACAACTAATGCAGCCACCAGGTACAAACAAGTTGTTCCTCTTTGCGCAGCTTTCATGGTAGATGCAGTCATCAGGTGCATCTAGAGGGGGTCTTCCTTGCCCTTGTTCAGCTGTACGGCGCTGACCTTGAGGCCAGGGTTATGTGGCAGACCCTTGAACACCGTCAGGTGCACATACTTCTCACCACCTACGTCCACCTGAAAAATATAATAAGAACACTTAGTCTCTTTTTGTCAATGCCTGAGTGGCAAGCCTAATACTATAGTATATAACCCAGTTTGGAGAAATCCCCCTTAGTTTCCCTAGCATGTTGCTGAACGATGATGAGGATGTCTATGAAGCTTCCCTGTAACACCTATCGAGTTTGGTGCCAATGGGTACCACAGGAGGGAAGAGGTTAAGGTAAAAGGTAAATAGTCCGACAGTCTTGCAGGCCATTATAAGGGGTAGTGCATTGTTGATCCACTGTGCCTCTAGGGCACGGTAATGGTAGGTGGAGCCCATCCCTATCCTTTCAATGCCCTTTGCCTACCCTACAGAACTCAGGTACCCATTTTACCTTTCAATTTAGGCACAACATCTTGTCAGGGATACCATGGCCTCTCAATGTTGTGTCTGCTCGCCTAGTGTTTTTTCATTCGATGCCAGAGGACACTAGTAAATAAGTAAGGTTAGGGGAAGATATCTAATTTTCAGCCAGGGGAAGCTGTTCTTTGCTGGTGTCATTGCTCTCGTCTCATCAAGCATCTTTTTAATATCACATGAAAGCTCCTTGCTAACACTCACCTTGATGAAGTAGTTGGTTCCTGCCACCACCTGTGACCTGTAGGACACGGCCTGGAAGGTGCGATATTTCACACCAGCCTGTTTTTCCACTTCTGCCTTCACCTGGAACATTGACAAGTTACAGATATGAACTTGTACTTGGGTCATTGAGCACCAGACAATAGGCCAGCTTAAAGCTAGCTGCACCCAAAAGTCACACCATACCACATGACTATGAGTCACTCTTCATAGGGTAACGCCCAAATATTATTTGCACTTCGATAGATATTTTTCAACTGCAAACTTTTTATACTGAAATGAATCCTGTTATTACTATTTTTCATTAGAGATCACTTGGTGACATTGATATACTAGACTGGGAGTCATACTGATGTCAGGGAGGCTATACAGGCTCACTCCTCGGCTCCGAAACTTTTACCATAGACAACCCCTCGGAGTCAGATAGACTCTGTTCAAATTTTAGACCCCCAGGTGCTGGGATCAGTGCTTGTGGCTTCCACTAGACCCTTTTGCAGGCTGAAAAAAATAGTAGAAATCGGCCTAAACAGAATGTAGCTGGCCAGGGTAATAGGCCAGGTCGGCCATAGAGGGTCCAGTTTGCCTGCATACTATGGCCGACCAATTCCCCTGGCCAGCTACATTCTTTTTAGGCCGATATCTACTATTTCAATATTCAACCTGCAAAAGAGTCTGGTGGAGACTACAGGTAGCTTCCCCCGGCCGATGGGAGTCTTGTGTCGAGCCGGGGTTTGACATCCAGGCGAACACTTATACGATTTTATACATCATGTCCCCACTCAGCTATACTATAAGCCCCTCCAACTAAAGTGCACGATGCTCACCTCATCGCAGATAGCTTGGATCTCCGGAGTCGCATCTTGTGCTCCCGAGGCTCCTCCCATCATCATGTGTCCCGGGTCAGATTTACTCATTTTGCCGATTCCGTCGTCACGTTTTGCAGACTCCCACGATACTCTGTGAGCTGTGAAGGGTTTGTATCAGCTAGTACCCGGTCTAAACACCTGAACCTGACTGATATGATCACACGGAATGCAGGATTAAGGGAGTGGTAGTAGGCACGGCAGTTGGACTAGTTCATTCATAAAGGTTATACCAATATATGTTTGATAGGTGTACATGTGAGAGGTTACCTTTGGTTGGTAAAATTATGTTAACCCTTTTATACCCCTCTTTTTAAATTAAGTATCATAATAATACGACTAAAGATATGTAAACTTATTGTTTCAAAACTTCCTTCTTTGTTATCATAAAGGATCTATTTTTCTGCATTTGTCTACTAGTATCTAGCTAGCAGACAGTTATTGGTATCGTCGATGAAGGTTAGACATCCAGGTATAAAGAATGTATAACCCCACCCTCAACAGGGAAGGGGGGGCTACGGGTGGAACTTAAAGGCACTTGGGATTTGGCATTCCCAGCCCCGAGGACAGACAACACTTAAGCTCCTGTTCTGCATAACAGGAGCTTTCTGACTAATTTGCATTATCTTGTCTTGACCTGTCTGCCTTTTGTTCCTTTTTCCGACTTTAAAAAAAATTGTCTTCACTTTATTTGCATATCAATCAAAAGTTTGTGCTTATAAACCTGCATTTCCCCTCTGGTCTCTCAGTCACTGACGAAAGCTAGTGGATACTAGCTGAAACGTCTGACGTGTTCAAAATCATATCCAGTTGGTTGAGTAACTGCTTTTTGGCGAGTTATTGATATCGCCTAGGTTGTCATGTTTCTGGTGTGTGTGCTACATTCAAGAGTCAGGCAGAAATACATGTACAAGTCATCCTTTTTTATTGCTGCAAGCCTGCAACCTCGCTCATTTCTAGACAAATGGAATGTTTCTAACCCGTCCCTACATGTTTTGCTGCGGTGCACTACAATAGCCTTTCCTTAGTAAGGGTCATAAATTTATCCATCGGTGACAATATCATGATTTTTTGTGATTAAAGTAACAACATAGCCTGTGTTACACAATCTCCTCCTGCCTGGGGCTGATTGGGCCTCATTTCAGAGGCCTGACCAGTAGAAGGGCTGCTAGAAGTTAAAAGAGTTTGTCAGCTCCATATTTTTAGTAAAACAAGATGTTCCACAAGTGTACCAGTTAGCTCTTACATGTACATTAACATTTGTTTGCTATAGTAGATTAAGGTCCTACATATTACTATGATACCTTCTACTATATAATATACTCAATATTAACGTAACACTTATTGGTTGTTAGTCAGACCATGTAGAGACATATGGACCATAGTTCTGAATGACATAGTTTAAGGCAAGAAGGTGGTGTGTTAAGATATGTTTGTCTGTATCTCGATGTTCTTTGGTCTGCACAAACATACACATGCAAATTGAGGACACAGATTGAACATTCATAAAAATTGATTCCTTATAAGTTTAACAGATAGTAAATATTGTTCTGAAAGTTTGAGTTGCTGCTTAATCCATACTGAAGTCACTGGTCAATAGACTGTAAAAGGTAGGACAATTTTACGTTATTTTATAAAATAACACAGTTTTCTCGAAGCAGAATTTAGGAGTCTAACATTTAATATGGAAGAACATACTGGGTAAGTACCATAACAATATGCCAGCTGAATTGAGTATTTTCTGTATTGTGCCACAACTAATGAAGCCACCAGGTACAAATAAGTTGTTCCTCTTTGTGCAGCTCTCATGGTAGATGGAATCATCAGGCACATCTAGAAGTATCCTATGGGGTCTTCCTTGCCCTTGTCCAGTTGTACAGCGCTGACCTTGAGGCCAGGGGCATGTGGTAAACCCTTGAAGACCCTCAGGTGCACAAACTTCTCACCACCTACATCCACCTGCAAAATAAAAACACACTCAATTTCGGTATCTATTTTTGGTGAGTGGTGAGTAGTAGTATAGTATGCAACCAGAAAAAGTTCTAGCAGTTCCTCAGGAATTGGCACTATTTAAAGGTATACCTAGTCTATATCTATTTACTTGGAAGCATTGTAAAGCTCATCAGAGCCAGACCTGGCCAAAATGTGCATGATGGCTTTCTTTATAGGTCTTACAAATGCTATAACAATAACAAAGACAACAACATTGGGTTGCATACAATCTGGTATCCCTGGCATGGTAGTTCTGTACCCTGAATATGGTGATGACAATGATGATAATGTTAATGATCTGTATCTGTATCTGTATAGCCGGTATAACCGCCTTTCGGCGTAACACACCAGCTTCGCAGGCACGCGGCGCAGCGGTAGCTGGCTATATTACACCGATCGACTTGTTACACCTAACCCTTGAACTTCTAGCTCTAGACATTGTTTAAAGCTATCTATTGACAATGCCCCTACTGTACTTGGTGACAGTGAGTTCCACTCTGCGATAGTTCTAGGAAAGAATGAATTCTTGAACACCTCAATCCTTGGTTGATAACTCTGGTACTTGAATGCGTGGCTATTTCTTATTCTCTTCTGGGCTGGTATTAGGTACTTAGTAGTTGGGACATCCACCAGTTTATTAGTCATTTTGTACATCATGCATAGTCTAGACATCTTTCTTCTGTCTTCCAGTGAGGTCCACTGTAGGTTTCTTTTCATTTCCGTGACACTAGCACCTCTTACATAGTTGTTCATACAGAATCTTGCAGCTTGATTCTGTACCCTTTCCAATTTGTCTTTGTCTTTCTTTGTATATGGATCCCATACTGTCGCAGCGTATTCTAGGTTCGGTCTTACAAGTGACTAGCCTGGGTACCATCCGGATTTTCGCTACGCAACACTCGAAAAAATCGAGCGTTGCGTAGCGAAAATCCGGATGGTACCCAGGCTAACAAGTGACGTGTATGCATGTGATTTTACTCTAGTTGGACATGCCCACAGATAACGTTTAATCACTCCTAATGTCTGTTTCGCCTTAGTTGAGATATTAACATGTGCACCCCACTTCAGTACACTTGTCAGCGTGACGCCCAGATACGGATGGATTTTTGTGGTTGAAGTTTCCCAGTAAAACAAGTAGCTTAAGATGCAGTTTGCTAATTTTAAGCCAGGGGGCGCTGTTACCATTTCTAACACGCACCTTGATGAAGTAGTTGGTTCCTGCCACCACCTGTGAGCTGAAGGTCGTTGCTCGGAAGGTCTCATATTTCACGCCTGCCTGTTCTTCCACCTCTGCCTTCACCTGGAACATATCAAGTTACAGAGTACAGACACTTAAGTATACACAAGTAAAGCTCCTTGGTATACATTGGTATAACAGGAGCTTTCTGACTAATTTGCATTCTTGTCTTGACTTGTCTGACTTTTGTTCCTTTTTCGACTTCCAAAAATTTGTCTTCACTTTATTTGCATATCAATCAATAGTTTGTGCTTATAAACCTGTATTTCCCCTCTGGTCTCTCAGTCACTGACGAAAGCTAGTGGATACTAGCTGAAACGTCTGACATTTTCAAAATCATATCCAGTTACTTGAGAAACTGCTCTTTGGCGTACATTGGTTTATGTTTGAGCTGCAAACATTTCACAGGCATTTCTGACATTATGAAATAATAGGTTAGAAAGGACCAGTCTTTTTTTAAACAAATGACAAAACACATGTTGAAAAAATGGCAATGGACAAAAATTGATGTTTGCACGGATGTCAACCATATGATATACCGGTAATCAAGCCAGTCAGTGTGGATTATGAGAAAATAATTGTTATAACATCATGAGACCTCAGGTAGAATTTCTGCATGTTACTTAGTACTACGTACTGTATACAGTATAATACTGTTCCCTGGGAGTTGGACCATGGATGGGAGCCCCTTACTCACCGACATGTGATAATAACCACTGAGACATTGCCAGCATTAGTCATCGTATTCAAGTATCAAGTAGTCAAGTATCAAGTACAGTGTCAAGTTCCTTGTTTCACATCCCTTTCTTTGAAGTGATTGTCAATAAAATCACACAATCATAATGAATCATTCACACAATTCAAACAAACACATTCTTCATTCACAACTCATAATTCCTCCTTTTGGCTAAGCTGAGCCCCATGTGACAAACTTTCTGTAACCTGTGACCTTCTGACAACCATTTCCTGGTCACATGACTGTCACACACCTTCATCTTCATCTTTGCCGGGGCTCTGTGATGTTATATGAGGCCCGGCTACACCCCCATATAGCCCCTGTTGGGTTGTGTAGGTCTGGGCATGGTGAAGGGGGAAGATCGTTACCATTTTATATATGGCCCCCACCAACCTTGTATGGCCAAATTGGACCCACTCTGGCCAATGAACACCGTCTGGCCAATTTGATACTGTCTTTCTGCCGCCCTAGGATCTGCTTGGAGATTACTAGTCACACCCCAAAGCCACAATTCAATACACATTTCTTGGTATATCGTGTCACGCCCAATCGTTTGTCACGCCCCAACGCCTTGCAAATCTAAACTCACGTTACTATCTATATTTGCAACTTTTTGGGGCTGAGCATGACGGCTACGCAGCTACATCTTAAGATCTGTGACTTTTCTTCAAGGATCCCTTCATTGACAACTCGCATAAATATTTTGATACAGCATAAATTATTTTTTAGCACCTGCCCCCCTCCCTCTTCAAACTAAAATGCGAATGCACGATATATTCACCTCATCGCAGATAGCCTGGATCTCTTCTGTCGCCGCTTCTGGCTCCTTCGCCCCTCCGCAAATCGGCATTTTGCTGGTTCGGTTGTTGCGTTTTGCAGAATCGCACGATATTCTGTGCACAGTGTTGAGTTTGTGTCAGCTGACGCTACTCTGTGTGATCATGAGTCAGGCTCAGGTGATTACACCGGATACGGAAATTGGACGAGTTCATTCAATGGCAGGGGATACGCTGTAAGGTGAAAAATGTGAGAGTTTTATACCATGATTGTAGACAGTTTCATAACTCTTTTAGAGTCCATTCCACGTCACCGTCATACGAATGTATATACATAAACTTGCTGTTTCTTTCTTCATTATCAAAAAGGTCTATTTTTGCCTTTGTCTATCTAGGCAGATAGTGTTATTGGTATCGTCCTAAGTTGTAATGTTTCTTGTCGTCCTCGGACCAGACTAGATACACATTTTCCGTCAAGGTACATGGTATTGGTAGCGCTCTTTTGAAGTGAATAGACCAGTATTTTCCACTCAAACCCTCTAAAGTCATTTTGCAAAGTCCTACAAAGACCAGCTTTCGAAAATCCTCCTTAGTCCGCATTTCAAAAAGCCCACACAGTCCCTCTTTACAATAATGCTCCATCATCTTTCAAATCAAGGAGCTTTCATGAAAGCTCCTTGTTCAAAGTCTACATAATCCATCTTTCAAATGGCACAAAACCCCTTCGCAGACTCTATAACTGAGACTTTTTTGGGAGCAAAAAACCCTCCACTCAGGGACACATGTTGCTGCCTCGCTATTCAAACTGTTGGTCTAGAGCCATTGTTATTTCTCGTTACTCTAGCGACGCATACGTATAGTAAGTCCGTCTTCTATTTCTGACAACTATAGAGATTATCTGCTTAGAACTGAATGAAACGCTGGCACTACTAATGAGCCGGTAGAGTTACGATGCCGCCCACAGATAACGGTTATTGTCTGGCCTGGCAAAGAACCAAAATTCAGTTATACCTATGGATTTCTCTCTCTCCAGTTTTTTTTACTAAATTTATACGGGACTCAAGAATTATTTACTGATTGGTGAAAATCTATTTTCAGCGGCGATTTGACGTGACGAAATTCCTTTTTTTTTCAACGGCAGGAGGCGGCAAAATTAATATTTGGCCAAGTTTTACAAGAATTCACCCGGTTGTGAGACTACTAGGCTGTTTGCACATGTGTATGAAATCAGAACCATACCGGCCTTGACCGTCCAATAAATGTATGCTGAGACTTAATCTCCAAGCAGATCTTTTGGTGGCTGCAAGGCAGTATCAAATTGGCAGTATCCATTTGCCACCCCGAAGTCTGGCTGGCGTAAAACTAAGGATACTATTACAACTAGAGAGGCCGACATTTGCTTGGGAGCAAATACAGCATATTTCAGTCCATCTCCCTCCCACGCAAAAGTGGACTATTCCAAACTGACCCCAGTGTAAAACTGGCAAAGATTCTCAGATAAATGAATTATATAGTTTTAGCTATGTAATTGAGAACAAAGATGCAAGAACAAGCACATTGAATCTCGAAAGCTTTACTAATCTTATTACAGGTATGCAAATACTAACAATGATGAGATTTGATACATTTTGAAGGTCTTAGGCACATAAAATTGAATGTGTGGGTCATTACGCACGACTTACTTGCAATGTGACCCCAGGTAACCTACAATGGAACACGTGTTCCATGGCCAACGGCAGATGGAACAGGTATTCTTTAGATAGAACATGGAACGGGTATAGCACTTTTGGCCCTTTTTTTGCTGAAAATAGCCATTAATGTCCCCCAAATGAGTCATTTGGAAGTGGTGTGTGCCAAATATATGACTGCTATTCTGTAGACACGTGTTCAAGGTACCCTTATACCGAATTTCAGATCATTTGGTTGTAAAACCAGGGCTCAGGATCCAAAAATCCATTTTTTGGCGAAAAATACCCCAAAAAACCTTCATAAAAAATTTTTCAAAGGCATGTATCAAAAAAATGAAAAAAAACGCCTGGGGGTATTGGCCCACTCTACCTCCATGCCAAATTTCAAGTCATTTGGCTGAATGATGGCGGAGTTGAATCCCTTTCACTGTGTGGCAGGAGGAGAAGGAGGAGGAAAAGAAACATGAGAGAACACAATTTATGTCCTACCTGGGCCGCGATTACGTTCGATACGGGTGTTCCGGCCCGTGTGATAACTAGCGGTACGGCCCGGGAGTTCTTAACGCGTACGGCCCGGGCCTTCCAAATGTTCCATAGAACGATTAGACCGCGTTTCGCCCAAACCGCTTGCACCGCTTTCGAAAATTCGAACACAAAATTCGGACGTTGGAATTGATGTTGTTGCATTGTTTAGGTTTAGGGACACCAAATTTTCGCTAACTTCGCATTGAAAGGCGTGTTTTCTTGGGTGGGTATGACATAAATAAAATACAACACGGTGTATTCCGCATCACCCTCGGTCCCAGCCCTCCCGCGGGTCGGATCTCCCTCCGGCCTGTGGCCGTCGGGCGATCCGACCCGCGGTCGGGCTGGTACCTCGGGCGATACTGAATACACCGTGTTGTATTCTATATATATTTCATCCATACCATGGTATGGACTGAAATATAAAAATGCTATTGAAATTACCATAAAAACGTCCGAAACACGTTAACAATAAGCTGAAGCCTAAACTCTGTTTAGAGAGTATGACGAGACAGGCACGCGCGATCTTTACTTTCTACACGTAGGTGTATGAATAAATCCCAGTCGTCTGATCCCGTTCTTAATATAAGTGTTCCAAAGACAGCCTGCTTCAGCTTGATATCTGTGGCTGGTAACGCCGATCCCTCGGTTTGCGTGGCATTGACGCCTGTATGTGGAAAGCCTGTAATATAAAACCAACGTACTATTGTGCGTAAAACCGCCTAGCCTGAGGTGAAATTGTACGCAAGCAACATTCACTGCTGCCTTCATTAAGCGGCCAGCTGACATAGTCGATATGCGCACAATTCCGTTCTATTTTCCTGTATTGTTCTTAAATTATCACAGACCACATATACTCTACAAGCAGAGGATTCGGCTTGTTTTGGGCCTGTTTTCGGGCTTCCTTTTTGTACCGGTACCTTTTTTTACGCGGTGGTACCTTTTTTTACGCGAATGGTAACTGCCTAGCAAATGGATGCTACCTGGGGAACTTGATACTCTCTTACAGTTTACGGTTTGCAGTCACCAAAAGATCTGCTTAGAGATTGTTACACACACACACAATACAATAGTGCCCGGACAGTCAATATATCAGACAAACAAGCAGGCCGTGAGTCGGCTCAGCTTAGCGGGTGTTCGTATGACGACACCTTCCTCTTTCCCGGGAAACCCGGCGGTTGTACCGGCCCGTTCCAGGAATCGGCTAGTCAGCACGGGAAGCGGAACTCATGAAACACGTCTGATCGCCGTGGATATCATATCACCGAGATATCACATCGTGTGTATAAACCGCCAGTTCTAAATGTGGGATAACCTCATTTTAGCGGTATATGTCACTATATAGCCTGGGATACACATATATGAGGAAATAATGGCAGGATCCGTATTATGGTGCTAGCTATCGTTTGTCATATTTTGTCTTGATATCGCCATGGATATGATACAGTATTACCGAGATATCACATTTATAAACCGCCAGTTCTAAATGTGGGGATAACCTCATTTTTACGGTATGCCACTATATAGCCTGGGGAAGGGACACACATATATGAGAAAAATAAATGATTGAATGGCAGGGTACATGTACGTATTATGGTGTTACATATCTTGTCTTGATATCGCCATGGATATGATATTACCAAGCTATTAAATTTATAAACCGCCAGTTCTAAATTTGGGGATAACCTCATTTTTACTGTCACTCTGTATATAGCCTGGGGAAAGGAAAAAAAAAAAAGAATGACAGGGTCCGTATTGATTTATTATGATCTTAATCTTATCGTTTGTTTGTCTTTCTTTTGTCCTGATATGTACCAAACATTAGATGTGTCATTACCACATTTTACTTTCGTTTGTGATCTAGTGCAATGATACCAATGAAAGCATTCGGGACGTTGTCTTATCTAAAGTGAAAAAGCAGCACCTGGATAATAATGCTTTAGTCAGTTTACTCTCTCTCCAAGCAGAGGTTTGGGCTCATTTTTGACGTGATTCAGAATTTTCATCTGGCTTTCTTTTTGGACTGGTATATTTTTCTTCATTTTCGGGTGGCAAATGGATACTTCCCTGCCTATTTAAGTTAATACTGTCTTGCCTATTTGATACTATCTTGCAGCCGCCAAAAGATCTAGCCTTAACTTAGGTGTGGTGTCATTCAAGTTGAGGTGCGCCACAGCTGACAACACCGGATCTGGTGACATGTGAACAATGGCAGCCCCACGCGCAGCGGGTCGGCTTTCAAACCCACAAACGCGTTTTCGCCGTGACTGTGGCGAGGCAGTGGGTAAAAGTGCCTTCTCGGGTCAGGCTACGTGGCGAGACGCTATTCTGTGTCGCGGTAAAAATTAGTAAACAAACCTCAGCACAGTTTTTCGTGCATGCATGCATGCTTGGTCGGTCACTTCGGCAGTCACCAAGTTGTAGGGACGGGTCTCTGCATCTACATCAGGGCTCGAAATATCACCTGCATACCAACAGCATTGTGCATAATGCAGGTTAAATTGGAGCTGTGCAGGTATTTCTGATGTCTACCTGCACTAAACCTGCACTGGTCCATGTACTGATTATGTGCAGGTATAGTGCAGGTAAAATTGGAGCTGTGTAAGTATTTGTGACGTCTACCTGCACCTAACCTGTATTGGGTACATAAGTTACTTCTGTTTTTATACTGTTTGTAACCACATAGAACATTCTATATAAAGAATTCAAATAGTTTCATAAGAGGTTCTAGTTTGTTCCATTCTCCATAAAATCTAGCTTTAGTATAGAGTAGTGCAGGTAAAATTTATCAGTGGTGCAGGTTATTTCCAAATATAACAGAAAAAAAGGATTTCGAGCCCTGCATATGCTTTGTATATTTGCGGAAAACCGAGCACCTCTGTCAGCAGTTGCTTACTATAGAATGTGTATAGTAAAGTCTAGGAAAAGATACTCATAAACCACAGAAATATTTTGACACCTATTTTGTATTTCTAGTCGGGGAAACATCGTGACTTGTTAACACAAATCGTTAACTTAACGAACTATTTTTACGTCTAAAAACTAGATCTCGTCATAAAATATTTTTAACAATCTTCATACTTTCTAAATCGGCCTCTACACAGTTTGTTGGATGCACGTACTGATGTGTGCATTCATGCGAACATAGATAAACAGGATCCAAAGGTCGCCTTAATCGGGCGTTCACTCTTGAACTTGGACCACAGTGGTAAACAAAGTGCACAGCGCTTTCGTTGTTGTACTTTTTAAGACATGAAGACGCATCTGATCCACAGAATGCATTACCTATACCCACGTACACAGCTGTATTGTCCCTTACACGCTGTGACGAGCAGTGTGTCCTCGACCCCTTACAAATAGATACCGTCCTAGATAGGGGGACATTCACACTGTGACAACGATAACATTTGATGCAAATATACATATACATAGCCCTATCTAAGAGATTACGTGCCCATGACAATGCTAGAATGAGAACGGATAGTCCGTGACAAAGTTTTTTAGCCGGCCTGGTAGCGGGAGTTTCCAGGCGAGCCCGGCGGGCGTGTGTGCGTTGATGGCCCGGCGACACAGGTGCTGCAGGTCCGGTACTTTCCTCACCAGCGGGCGGGACAGAATCAGCGGGATCCTCCGCCTTCCCTCCGGCTCCTTCCAGAAGTGTTTCGCGGCGTTTGCAGCCGACTCCCGCATGTAGTAGTCCAGCAGCTTGACCACGCAGTCGAACTCCGGGCAGCGGTTCTTCACCCCGGAGTCCAGGGAAAAGTTTCCCTCCTGCGTGTACTTTATCCTGACACTTGTGGCTCCCAGGGGAGTCTTCACACTCACGCTAAACAGGTGGGCAGAATCTTCACTGTCTCTCACCAGGAAAGTCCCTTCTTTCTGGTCCCGCAGGGCTCGCATCGCCTCCTTGCCGTTCACGGCACCCCAGTACCAGCCGCTCGCCTCCAACTTGTCCACAGTCCGGCTGATTCTCTGGAAGTCAAAGTCCGAGCTCCTGTCCCGGGCTTGCGCGGGAGGTTCGCCCTCCTGGTTCCCGGGCATCGCAAGTCCTTCCACCGGCGATGTGTCAGCAATATTTCCGATGTTTCTGCGGCATTACAAGAGTGTGAATCTCCGATACCACTCCCCGGTATACAACAGACACCTGCCCGCGGCGCAGGCACACGCGCGTTTGAAATGAGGTCGTTGATTTCCGCTTCCCGGAAGAGAGAGCAACTTTCTCCGAATTACGCGCCGCGCGCCTTGATGTGACGCCGCCAGGCCTTTCATGGCCGACATCGCGCCATCGCTTCCCGGGAATGTGATTATTGATAGCGAATAATATATGGAGCTACGAATCAGATTGTGTAAGAATTACGTAAGGACCTATATCGGCACGGTTATTGAAGTATGAGCAGTGTTTATTGGTTGGAAGCGTGGTTGTGACAGGGGAACAATACCTGCTGACAGTTGTCACAGGTCACTGCGTGTGTTTAGTCAGGTCGGTTAGGTAATGATACGGTGTGTTTTCCTTACTCTCCAAGCAGAGGTTTGGGTTTGGGCTTATTTTTGGCTTGCTTTTAAGGCTTTTTTCGGGCTGTCTTTTTTGCCCTGTTGTTTTTTACGCCAACTAAAAAAAAACAGTGATAATCCCGATAAGAAAGCATAAAACACGCCAAAAATAAGCCCAAACCCAAACCTATGTTTTCCTAGTCTCTACCAGGGTAACTACGCTGGCTATATATAAGAGAGAATATTTGCCAGGGGAGTTTGGCCGCCTAGTAGGTTTGACAGGCCGCGCAGCAAGAAACTACCTCTCCGCGGCCGGACTCCCTTGGCCAATTTTACTCTCTTTTTTGCCGAATTCTACGATCCGTATTCACGTACTAGTAGACGAAGGCCTGGTGGAGGCTGATGTTTTCCTGTCGTTCCAGTAAAATGACGCTGTTCGGTACCCTGTGACGCACAGCAGGGCTTTGTGTGCAGTCGGGCGGGGGTGGAGACCGGCGTAATAATATTGTGATGAGCTTAGAGCGGAATTCTCCAAACAGATCTTCTGTGGCTGCAAGACAGTATCAAATTGGTGACACAGTGCAGTGAAAAGCGGTGGTGATGGCCAGGTGGTCGGGTTGAAGTGGTGGTTGCCTGGGCAGATTTGACTGTATCAAATCCATTGGTAAGACAGTACTTCAAATTGGGAAGACATTATCAAATTGGTAATACAGTATCAAATTGGGAAGACATTATCAAATTGGTAAGACAGTATCAAATTGGTGGGACAGTATCAAATTAGTATAATACAGTATCAAATTGGTAAGACAGTATCAAATTGGTAAGACAGTATCGAATTGGTAAGACAGTATCAAATTAGCTAGATCTAGACGGTATCAAATTGGTAAGACAGTATCAAATTGGAAAGACAGTATCAAATTAGTAATACAGTATCAAATTGGTTAGATCTAGACGGTATCAAATTGGTAAGACAGTATCAAATTGGTAAGGCACTAAAGGCAGTATCCAATCCATTGGCAAAACAGTATCAAATTGACATTACAGAAGACCCCATGAAAACGCCTAGAAACACGCCTAAAGTAAGCCGAAGCCTAAACCTCAGCCTGGAGAGTAGGCTTTGTATGGAGTTGTGCGGGGGTTGAGGTTTTGCGTAACAATATTGTGATGCAAACAGAGCGCAACATGACATGCGTCATCAGCCGCTTGTAACAACATCAACAGGCTTCATTGAGAGCACGAGCCTAATAGACTGAAAAGATTTGCCCCAGAGATAGCCGGTAGTAGTCTCTACCAGACTAACTACGTTGGCTATATATAGGAGAATAATTGCCAGGGGATCTTTGGCCGCCTTGTAGGTTTGACTGAAAGCTAAAGTGAAAGGGAAAGAAGCCACCTTCCCCTCGGCTGGACTCCCTTGGCCAATTTTCATTCCTCAAGTTAACCGACATCTCGCACACGCAGTCGTCAGTCGCAATGGTTAACATAATTTAGTGAAGGCATGAGATCGTGGGACGCTAGTATTCGAAAATCTCACTATTTCCACCCCTGAACATCTGCTTGAAGGACGTGAATGCGACACAGGCGCGATCACGTCCCTATCTGAAACGACACTTACCGACATTACAAGGATCTGCAGCAGCTAATGTCTGCGCAGACTACCTTCTACTACCAGTCTTCAGTAGCGGCAAGAAAGAGTAGAAATTGGCCAAATAGACGGATATCATCGAAGTTTGTCTGCTAGTAAAGAGTGATATTTGCAGCTCCCAAAAACTAGTCCTTTAGCAGACAACTCCCCTGGCGTCTTATCTGTCTCTTTGGCCAATTTTTACTCTTTCTAGCCGCCTCTGAAGCCTGGTAGAGGCTAATGTATCACTATGTGTAATATTTGTGATGAGTTACCTTACTTCCTTACTTTCCTCCTGTACATGCATATGCGCCTGATCGGACACATCGGGCATCAAGTTGATGAGTGAGTGAGTGAAACTTCTGTCCCTACGCGTAACACGAAGAAGAAAAGGCTCTGTCCCGTTGATACATTACATACGCGAGGAAGCTTTCACAAGCTGGACGCCGTATGACCGCAGGGTTACGATGGTTTGTTATCATCCCAACTCATGTGGTGGGCAAACGTTTGGGGAATTTTTCATGATCTTTCATTTCTATTTGAAGAACACCGTGACCGAAACATCGATTCTGAGCTTCGCGTAAAATGGACAGGACTAAGGTAGATAAGAAAGGGAAATGGACTCTACCCTTTAGCTTACATATAGATTGACAGGAGATGTCTGCAAAATGAAATATTACTTTTGATCTAGTCATTTTAACCATTGGTGAATCCCCTTCCCAATACAGAAACTCATGAGTTCCACCACCTCATACCTTCGCTAAATGATGTTAACCTTTACTACCGACGAAGTTAAATGTTTCTTATTGATTAGGTGAATAAAGTCCTGGTTTGCGTAGGTTGTAACTTAACAGTTTATTATATTTTCCACCCAAATGCTGTTCTCGAGCCCAAACAACGCAGCTACCAAATGCAAAGTACCAAATTGAACATAGTTTATATAGTAATAGTAGTAGTCCCTACCATTTCTTCTTATCGACTTCATTTCCTAAAGAAACATCAATCAAATGGTGCCTTCCGTCATTGAAGTCTACTGCATCCTGTAGTTTGCAGTATCGACGCTGGGTGGCGCACTAATACGAGAGAAAGAAGACCGCCCATTCGGACTATCCAATGACGTTCTACATCACTGAAAAGAACCATACCATTACCAATAGTCAGCTAATTCTCTGTGCTATCGTAGTAATGCTATCGGGTATATCTCCATTGTCCATCCTAAAAAAAGCCGAAATGTTTCGAAAATGAAGCCTGTGATAATGAACAATTGCGTAACGTCAAACGAATGCCTATATCGGCAATCGTATATCTGCTATGAGAAGGCGATCTTTCTTCGTTCAGTTACCGACTACTTTATTTATGCCTTTTTGCTGGATTATCAGTCAGGAAAACTTTCGGTATTTTGCCGCGTTTTCCCACAGCACCCGGACACCCCGTTGTCGTAATTAAACGACGCATTCTTTCGAATTACCCCTTGGTGTGACGGGTGAGGGGGCAATATGACATACACAACCGAGGGTAGTGTGTCCTGAAATATAGACAGAAATGCATGAAACATATACATGTAGCATGAAACAATAGCCTATCCACATATTTGTGCTCGTGTACACGCTATACTAGTACTCCTGCCGTATCATATATTCCTTCATACATAGTTTACGGACTGGTTTACAAAGCGAAGCCGCATGTGGAAGTGGCTTGAGTGCGTAATGCACACTGCTGGAGTGGCCACGGTCTCACTTGACACACTTCCATTACCCATTTGACTCAATGTTTCCGCTACAATATAAATGACAATTAAATGACATATACACGTACCGTATAAAGGACTCTCAATGGCTCTTACACGTCCCTGGGTGCAGCGACAAGTCCGCAGTGTTTGTTTAGTCTCGAGGTAAAGATGATGCCAACCCGCTAATTGCGCTAAGTAGGCCAAAGGGCCCGTCCAAAACAGCGCGTGCAAACAGATCGATACAGACCTGCGGTCGGGGCGGTTCGGGCGCTCACGCCAAGACGTCACACGGAAACACGTTCTTGTCCTGCCTCCTTCTATCTTCAAGACGTCTCGTAAGGAATACCCGGAGGTTTTCCCCAGGATTTGCGCGGCTGTACGGAGAGTTGTGGTACCGCTGTGGAGTGTTATGCCGAGGAGATACCGCGGGGGGACACCGTGGTTGGTTGTTGGGATGCGGGGCTGTCCGGCCCGGGGTGAGACCGAGGTGTGTGCCCCGCGCTGTACCCTGGAGTAGCCGACACGCAGGACCATGCCTCGGCTACCTGTTGGCCATGGAATTTTACCTGTCATCTTATTACTGACAGCCGTGCTGCTGAGACACGTACAGGGACAGATCACAGGTGAGAAGAACGTTCCTTACAAGACTCTTCAGTTCCTTAGCGGTAACGTTACAGGTAAACCTAAGGTCAAGACATTCTCCCAAGGCTGCGCGTGTTTTGCGATATTGTCACCTTATGCCCCAAATATCGGTAACGTATGTATTACGAAGTTGATAAGACTTTTCAGGTTCTTTACAGTGAGTATTTCGTTTTGCCTGTGGCACAGTAGCAGGTTGTGATTTTGCTGAGCAGTGCGCGGTTTTGAGGGTGTAGAACTAGAAAAGGGGCTGCTGCCTGTAGGTAATATATGATACAGTAAACACTCGGCACTTGGGGTTAGAGTTGTATTTTCCCAGTGGATTCCGGTGACACAGATCAAACATTGGTGCAAGTCTTTGGGTCACACACCACGTCAGGCAGGGTAGAGAAGGCGGAACACCCCCGGAGTACGGCGTGTCGGTCCACACACGGAAAACACGCGGCGGGCAGGGATTTCCCGCTCACAGCTAGCCTCTACCAGGCACCGCGAAGCGCTGAAAAATAGTAGAAATTGGCCGAAATAAAGGAATAGTATACCAAAGAAGATATACCCGTGGGTCGCAAATTGGATCTTCTATGGCCCGGGATCTTCTCTGGTATACTATCCCTTTATTTCGGCCAATTTCTACTATTTTTCCAGTGATCCGCGGTGCCTGGTAGAGGCTAGGTCACACCGCTCCAGCTGTGGTATGTGTGGCACGGCTAGGGACCAGCCAACACGTGGCGAAACTTTCTACTCTAGTTTATAAATTAGTCGTCGTAACGCGTAAGAGATACGACAGGTATAGAACAAAGAGGTCGTATACGTGACTGACATTTGTGAGAAAGCCAGATGCAGTGGTAAAACAGGGGTCGACTTTTAAAGTCTTGAAAAACAAACTTTTCTTTACGATGTTTGTAGCTAGGGAGACACAGTGCTGGGAACGAGAGCCTACTTCCCCAAGAAGGCAATAATTTATGGGGCTTCATAACTTCTTTCATAACTGTAGTTTTAAACTGTTATAAAATATCAGAACCACGCTA